CATTCACCCAACTTGAATTTCCATTCACTTAGAACGAATGTAACTTAAGTACGAGCGCCTCAACATTAAAAGACGAAAAATGAGTTGGGAAGATGATTTTCATTACTAAAAGTAGGGGCACCTCAACATGGGAGGGGGGGGGGGGCGTCAGGCTGTCGAAAAATCCGCGCGGAGAGACAAACCTTAAGCTGAAGCCAAAACAAGCTATACTAACCAAGACAATCCACAAAACACGCCGGCAGGCCGGCGGATTTGCAAAGACCAGAATTGACGTTCATGTCCTTCCATCAGAATTGATGGTAAATTGTTGCATTTGTTTGTAGCAAATTTGTGCATGACTCCAATGATTTTCAGCAAAGTCAGCTTGCCAGCTGGTAGTACATGATGTTGAACCAGCAACCCGCAGCAACCCCAATGGCATATTGGTTTGGGGAGTGACATCACACCCCACACCCCATCACTTGCATCCACAGCCTGACTGCCCCCACACGCCTGTGGGACCCCCCGCGCCGAAACCGCCGTCGCTTGAGGTTTCCGAAGGCAGCCAACTTGGATGGAGACACTGCCACCAAGACCGACTCCTGGCAAGCGCCGATTTCCCAGGTGTTAGCCCAGAGGCGACCATATTTCCAAAACCATCCCAAAACCACAGGTTCAACATGTTTCAACCAGAAAAGGGGTTCACGATTTTGATGCAGTTTGGCGAGGAAACACCATGAAACACCATGTCAAAGATCAAGATGTTGATTCGCAGGTGAAATGAACAAGGCCTCGTTGAGCTTGCATTTGTCCAATCTTCGATTCTAGCGGTCGGGAGTTGCATGGAGTTGATATGTGGCGTTTCCATGACAAATGAGCTGAGGTTGTGGGTTGTGAAGTCTCCGGTCTGTAGCGGAGGTCATTTGATTTGGAGATGATGAAACACCGAAAGCACGTTTCATCATGTGTGTTCTATTGAGATCACCAGTTAATTAAGAAACAAATAAGAGAGCCAAAACGATAATCATTATGTGTTTCATTGGCGATTTAATGGTATGGGAAAATGGAAAACAACTTATTGTAAATTAGAACAGCAATACAATTCACGTCATAAATATGTTTCACTGTTCTTTTTACCTTTGGACTGTTTGTTTGATGATGTTTGTTGCCTGGTTGAGAGAGTTTGTAAAGAGGAACTGCACTGGACGGCAAAGGTGAACATTGAGAACCTCATCATACTATTCCCGTAGATTCGGCATGTTTGACAGTCGGTTTGCTTCAATAAAATTCATCATATGCTCTTTACCTTTGTGCCTCAATTTGGGGGCTACCAACAAAAACAAAAACACTTGGAGTGTTCCAAGAAGATTCGAAGAAGACCCTGCTTCTCTTGGTGCCAAACCAATCCAAGAAGCGGCTTCCCAGCCCACAACACGGTGGGCACTGTCTTCCCAAGGAAAGTGCTCTGCGACAGCTGTACACAGAAGTTTGTGAGGTGAGAATCGATGGGCTGCCGCTGCCTCGATTTCGGAATTCGAGAGACAGGTGGTTCAGTATTATATTATAGCCAGGGCATCCAGTTACCACTATGGCTGGTAACCAGTGGTTCCAAAGACTGTATAGTGGTAACTGGGATGCACTGGGATAGAGTTGGTTGTTGTATGGGGACATGCGGCACCCAGACGCTCAAGAAGCATCGCCGCAACGGAGCGCTCCTCTGGACTCTACGGACGGGTGGACGGAAGAAGGAAGCGACTTCAAGTGGCCAAGCCTTCCCAAGTCCCAAGTGTGCCGCAAGGGCGACCCAAGAGTTGACCCAGGATGACGGGCGCAGTATAGATTTCAATTGGTTATTTTGCCATACATCTAAATCTGGTTGGGTGAGGCTGCCTTGACAGGCTGGAAGCTCGTAACGTCACGTCCCCTGCTGCGGACCCGCCTGTTCCATCGTTCGTTCCGCCTGCCCCTCTGTATCCTCCGTGCGGGTTCCGCCAGGGCGTGCAGGATGCGGTGCTGTTGCTGCCCGCCAGCGAGTTCACAGACACCGCGAGGCCGAGATCACGACCGGAGACACGAGGGCGAGACCGGAGAACGGTTGGTTCGTGAGCCTGAACAGGTCGAAGTCGGTCTGGAGTCGGTTCTCATGCCGCAGCCTGTAGCCTGCGTGTTGCGCCGAAAAGAAGACGTATAGCATAGCCTCCAACATTCTTTATAAATAAACAAATTCAAAAGTGGACATGGCCCCCAAAGATGCCAAAGACCAGGAAATCCTTTACAAAGAGGGGGGTTGTCCATTTCGTGTCCATTTTCACGATTATTAGAGGAAGAGGGTAGTTTGACCTGATTGGTTTTTACATATTGCAGTAATCCCCCCATTAGGTTTGTAAAACCACTTCATGTGGGACACGTGCTTGCGGACTCTCTGCATCAAGCGCCAACCACTTCATATGGTCATACGGGGGGGGTCATTAACCGCAAGTTGAGTCCATTCATTCAATCGTCCGAAGCGCGCGTGTATTAATGAAACATCTACACTATGTTTGTTTATTTGTTATGGATGCCTGGAAAGACACCCAGGTCAGGTGGATTGTTGGACCTGGTGGATTGTTGGGATAGACCTGTTTGTCCAAGGTGTTGCTTTGGTTTGGTTTTGCCCAATATCAATGTCTATTGGCTCGACATGCTTCAATGGTGGTGGATGTTTCTTGTGGAACACACGTTTTCACCTCCACTCGCCTCATTTGTGGGTGAATGCACTCAGGTCAATGTAGTTTTTGTTGCATCCAATTCCCAGAGCAACGTTGCTCGGTGGTAAATCTCGTCAGACCTTCCAAGCGAAGAAACGACGGAAAGCGGAGACAAGTCGCAGACAGGAGATGACAGGAGCCTCAGAGCAATCTCAGCATGAGAATGCAGAAGAATGATGAATCACGTTCAAGGCGTGAACAGGTTTGAGGTCGACTTAGAATAGACATGAATAGAATAATAATTAGACTAGCTAATCTATAGTCTATAGGTGTCTATGGTATTGAGTAGATCTATGCTTCGAGAAACCCCTCAGAAGAAGCTGATCCTATGCTATTGTTGAAAGGCAGGCGAATGGGCAACAAGACGAGAGATTGTAGAAGATCCTTGAGTGTCAAGCCACAAAAGATCAATCATGTGTACTTTGTGATCCCTATACTTACTTTGGCTTTCCACTGGACAACCAGTACTTAACACCATGACCTGTCCAGGTAGCTTTCTGCAACACACTTGGATGCTTTTGTCCCGACTCCCCTCGATGAAGTTGCGAACCCGACCATGTCCCAACAGATGCGACAGATGAACAAGTCTAGGCTGTTTGCAGACCATCGGACTGCACTCCAATACAAATGCCCCGGCTTCAGACCAGTCCTAGTCTCAACTGCTGAAACACGTGCCAGCCAACGCGTGGGAGCCATGGGCCATGAGCAGAGCTGAAGCCTGTTCGCCTGTTCTGTCAGATGACCTTTGTGCCGAGCGTCTTGGATGTCATGTCAAGGACTCGGGCCGGGCTCTCCTCGCGCCCGAGGAGAGGGGGTAGTGAGGTGCATATGATGGGCCCGATCGATGTAGTGAGCTCGGTGGAAGAGTGGCCCTGAATCCAGTGACAACGACGGAGCATGACTGGGGCGTTCTGAATGGCTCAGTTCGTCATGTTCATGTCTCTTGGTACTCAGGGGTCAGCGAAGGGAAAGCAGAGGTGTTGGGATGATCTCATGTTCATTTACATCCACTCCATGTGTAGCCCTGTGACCTGCTTATTTTCCATGATCTTAGCTTTTCAGAGCCAGGGTTCATAGGGCTTTTAGAAGGGCAATATAACACTTAGATTTGGCCATATATTATTCCTGACCTCATATATTGAAATCTTCCTTCATCATCTCATGTGGCATGGAGTTTCAAGAATCAGATCGGATTGATGCCTCTCCCCTCACAAAAGATCATTCCACCAGAAACACCTCCAAACAACCTCCAAATTATCCCGGCAAGAGACCCCAAACAATGTGTTTACCTGTCTAAGGTCTAGAGGTAAGTGTAGAAGCAGAAGGTCTAGAGATCTAGACGCATCTAGACGCATTGGGCTCCAGAGAGAGGTGATGGTGGTGATGAAAGTGGAGATCGTGGTGATGATGGTGATGGTCGTGGCGATGAAGGTGGTGATGATCGTGGTGATGGTGGTGGTGGTGGTGCTGGCTGGTGGTGGTGATGATGGTAGTGATGATGGTGGTGGTGATGGTGGTGATGAAGGTGGTAATGGTGGTGGTGAAGGTGGTCATAGTGCACACATGAAAGGACATGTTAGTAAAGCGATGTCCTGCGCCTGTCACGAAAAGCCGACCTTGGACCAAAAAACAGGGTTCCCTTGCACCTGCCACGAAAAGTGGTCACCAAGCCCGAAAATGTGCAAAGCACCACAACGAGAGCCCAGTCTCGCACCCAACCGCGCCCACCAGATTCTGCGAGCCTGCACAGTCGAAATGCACTTCAAAGATCTCGAGGTGAATGAATGTATCAATGTAGCGACTTAGCCGGCGGATGTGAGCACCTCGATCAGATACCCATCCTTAACTACTACCGTAAGACCCCGTAGTGTTACCACACTGCTCGGGGAAAAAACAAGGCTTTGGAAATTGGAAATCAGCGTCCCTTTCAGGATTGGTCCTAAAGCCTCAAGCGTCGGTCATTGGCCTCTGGAAGCCACTGGAAGCACCCATCGGTATCAGTTTTTCAACCGGAATACCCGTATATACATACCATACTAATGATCATCAAGTTGACGCATTGTTTACGCATGTGACGTGTCCAATCCAGTGACATGTGGCTCGGACCTATTGGACGCTTTTCCCTTCCGTTACAAATAGTTTGCCTCCAGTAGGAGTCACTGAATTGTTCAGAGACAAACACCAATCACCCCACAAATTCTGGTTTTCTACCTCACCCCGTCTTTTTTGAGTCCGGCAGGCTGTGGAAGTGCACTCTTTCACCAATTTTTGAGCTCTACTAGGTTATCTGACATGTCTGCCTTCATTTGCTAGTTTTGGTTTAACACAAGTATTTCCCCAAGCATACTCATTGAATATTAATACCAATATTTCTTTAAATAGGTACCCAAGAATTCCTTAGATCGATTAATATTACACATTAATAAATCTTTAAGTATAAACTCATTGAATATATCCACACCTTATCTGTATAGGGGTGAGGATTGTATTGATAGATTTATAGAACAATTGGGTAATATCAAATCTGATATCATTGAACAAATGAATGTTAATAAACCAATGGTTATTAGTGAAGAAACATAAATATAATTCAAAAATGCTACAAGGTGCCCTATTTGTAAGAAAATGTTTGATGAATGTGATGAAAAAATAGAGATGCCAAAACACAAAATAACAGAAACACAAATAACCAACTCTTCAGAAGTCTTGCCTTGGGGTGGGTTTCCAAAAACCACAAAAAAACACACACACAATCCTAGAAGACTCTTTGGTGAGTAAACCAAAAACAACAAAAAACCAATTGCTGGGAGGTCTTGGGCTGGGGGGGGTGTCCAAAGCCTCTGTCAGGATTGTTTTCTTTTCTTTTTGGTTTACTCACCAAAGAATCTTCTACGATTGTTTTTTTGTTGTCCAAGTCCTATGCATTTTTTCAGAGTACAGCAGTTGAGATGTCCTTGGCAGTACTGGTGCTGTGAATTAATCTCAGTAGATCCTTGAAATTTACTAAAAAAATCACCTCCACATCACTCAAAATAGGTGAAAAAGTGCACTTCCAGGGCCTGCCGTTCTGTTTTTTTATCCTTTTTTGGGGAATCAAATCATGTTGATTGTTGATTCGTTGATTCATCAACCCACCCATACCTCACTAGATGGTAAAAGGTCTCTCCATCATGCGGCGTTGCTTTTATCAACATGTCTCTACTTGATGCCCCCACAAACCAAAGAGCTCCGCAAACCGTGGATTCTTCACCCGTCGCAGATGGCGAGCCCTGGCCGTCCCGGGCGCGGAGTACTGGACCGCGCCACGAGGCGTGGGCGTGGCGCCCTGAGGGCCGCCATCGATTCCAACAGAGGTTGAAGGACTCTATAGACTCTATAGACTATCCCATAGGTACTCCAGGTTACGGGTCCTATTGACGGTCACGTTCCACCTCTCTTGGTTTGCAGTCCCAGACCGGTCGCGATTTTGGGGCCAACGACGGAGTTCGCCTTCCATAACTCCATCCGTGAGGACCGTTGGAAGGAGCGCTCCATCATGTGAATTGTTTGGACTTGCAATGACTTGAAGGTACTCCATGTTTGTTGTTCGAAGGCTTCAATGACAGTCATTGAAGACATGAATTGCATGAATTTGCATGCAAAGAATAGGACCAGTAAACAAGGAACACATCAATTTTGCAGAACGGGACGGTGAAGATCCACTGCCGTCCAGACTAGGATGCCACATGATGCCGTCCATTGGACCTTTGAGCCGTTGTCCTGTGTGATATTATGCGTTGACATTGGTAAACAAAAAAAAACATCCATCATATGAGACTTTGGATGCATTATGCAATACAGTATAATATGTTACATTTCTTTCAACTGCTGATTTTGTTCATCCTATATAAAGTGCGAGGATGGTTTGATCGTCTCGCAGATGCCTCGCAGAAGGTGGTAGCACCACATGAACTGGCGGCCGATGCGGCCTTGGTGGATTCCTGGGCGCAGATGCCGTGCCCCAACCTGTCTCTGAGCTGCAGATCGAACTGGTTGGGCGCTGGGAAGGATCTGCGAGTCCAGTCCCAACATGGCGTTTCGCAGATGTGTACATCATCAAAAGGCTCGAATAGATTTGGGTAGATAGATGGTCCCAGACTAGATAGAAGCTGCGTTCCAAATATATCTTCCGAGAGATATTGTTTTGGCGCAAGTGTTGGTTTCCGACATGCAGGTTTAGGGACAAAGACTTCCAGTGAAGTACTCCAAGCCAGTTAACACCATGCCGGTTGGCCACATCACTTGGTATGCTGCTAGCCAAACCGCCAAAACCACACGTGGCGACGTGGGGTCGGGTCCTTGGGGCCCATGTTGACCGAGATCTGTTCGTTCTCCGGACTCCGAATGAATCGATTGGGCCTTCTGTGAAGGGTGAGACGAACAGCAGAGGGGATAGACAACTGGTTGTTGATCTCGATTTTCGCCTTTGCCTGGCATGGTTGGTCCCAATGACTCTCATTTAAACCACCAACCGCTATGTGCGCGACATATCAGATGGAACAACATCACGGCTTAGGGCAGGCGGCAGGTTTTTAATGTTTGCCTTCAATATCTACTGTATTATAGTGGTCCTCAAATAGATACATGATTAGAGTGGGGATCTACTTGTCATAACTTCTCCATCTATTTGGGTGTCTTTGATGCAGTTTCTTTTCCCCCATCCCCCAGGTCTCCCATGGATCTCGCACCAGTCAGGTGGCCGGGACGCCCACGACACAGCCCTGAGTTGGTCTCCCACAGCTTTGCCGCACGGAGCACCACGCCGCAGCGACCGCCCAGCGACGAGGAGGAGGAAACGACCGTGGGCGCACGGAGCAGCCAGTGCCTGGGTAAGTTGATGGGGAAAGCATCGATGTTTCGTGTTTGCTAAGGTGTTTGCTGTATTGACCTAACAAAATGGGGTGTCAATCTAGACACACAAACCACCCGTGGAGTGTCTGGGATTTGGAGATGCTTGTAGGCGTTGTAGATGTCCAGGGAGTGTCGGGTAGATTTGTACAATGCCAACAGCCGTCATGTTCAATAATTCATTGCAACATATGGTCGGTAGCTTCCGAGTATCATCTGGTTTTAAAATGTGTGGACCAGGTGTGTACGTAGATGGTCCCAAACATGCGTATCGAAGCAAATCAAGCACATGGGTTTGGGGGGTGAATGGAGGTCATTACCCACATGGAGCATTTGGGGGATTTTTGGGGTGATGAAGATGAATCAGTGGCCACAACGATGTTGCACCTCCAAAGATCCTTGAGTTATTCTTCATAAATGAAGGCACCACCAAAGCTCCCGGCGATGTGCAGGAATTGTATTCTCAACATTTCTCCTCCCCACGGCTCTTCACTTGCGCCCACAGCCACACATACGTGTCAAGTCTTTGGTTGCGATTTGGAGTGGGTCAGAAGATGTCAGAAGTGTTTTTTTCCTGTGCAATTCTGAGAGTGCATGAAATTTGACAGATTGTGAGAAGTAAGACTCGTGCCCCAAGCAGAATCTTCCCACTTTAAGACGTCCCTTCCACCCAAAAGTCAGATTTTTACAAAAACGTCTTGGCCACTGGCTCGGCCTGAAGGCCATCCCCCTTTTCAACATGATATCCAAATGGTCAAGTACTAGCGAGGCACTTGTTTCTAATAGCTTCTTGTTACTACTAGTAAGGCACTTGTTACTACTAGCGAGGCACTTGTTTCTAATCCAGGAAACGCTGAGGCCTGGAGTTGGGTTCTGGCAATCCATGCGCAACGACACACGGCCTTAGCACGGCCTTAGCACCGCCGGTGGGCGCGGTGTCGTGTGGCAAAGCAACTCCTGCCGCGGGAGGTGGGAAGAGCCAGAGGTGTTCGAAGGTTTGCTTCTACCAGGACCCTCCAAGGGGTGTCCAATGGACTTCCCCACACTACCTATAGGCTTCCAGACAGGGCACCCCTTGGAGGGTCCTGGTAGGAGTATCCTGTTTGTGGTGGTTTTTGGGTAGTGGGAGACCTGGCAGGAATGGTCCTGGTAGAATTGTTGCAGTGTAGATGTTCCAAAAAGATTGCCTGTGGGGATTTGTTGAACTTCAAGAGATCAAGAGAGGTGAAATCGTTTGTTCTTTCTTGTGGCCGGGGGGGTGAAAGGTTAGATTATATATAAGAACTGAAGCACGTGTTCCACTTGGCTAATCGAGTTTCTATCTTGTGAGACGTTCTTTCCGGGTTCACGACCTGCAACATGTTGTTCTCAGATGTTCCATATGGAGTTCATGTATCCATGTTGTTCAGATGAGGTGTCTGACTTTACTATGTACATTGCTCCAAGAAGCACCTGAACATGATCAGAGAAAGACCTGCTGTCGTGGATGTCTCATGCTCATCCATGTTCCAGGTTACCAGTGCACTAGTCGTTATCTTCGACCTCGTGCACCAGTCGTGGACCAGTGCACTCTCCGCGGATCCGAGGACTATTCGCGGATCCTGGAGCAGGGGCGGCAGGCACGAGCTCAGGCCGCAGTCTCGGATTCAATGGAGAAGTCCGGAACAGCCCAGGGGGCATCCCTTTAAGGGTCGTTGTTTTCGATTATATTGTATATATATATATAGATTGTTTTTGTCTGTGTGTTATTTTAATCATGTTAAAGAATCCACAACTGAATATTTTGGTGCAGGTAGGATACTGGCTGGTCCAAACAGCTGTTTGCAGCGTCAACAAAGCCTATGTCTTTTTCATTGACCTTTAGATTGCTCAGGGGGATTCGTTTGCGTTTGTGATTGTGGGATGCCAACCGTTCGGTGCTCTTCTCGGGGGATGCTTGCTAATAGCTGCTAATACAGTATCTTTCCTATTTATTGGACCCAGCTCTCATCCTCCTTCGCCATGTTCCAGAGATCATCCCATCCGAAAACCCCTGAAACCCATTCTGATTGGTCGTTTGGTCCATTGGTCTTCTCAATCTGTTGTGAGCCTATGAATCCATCCAACCCTTGAAGGTGTAAGAATCCCTCGTCCTATGGCCATCTATGGTCCCCATGGCCGTCCTATTACTCCTTTTACTCTCTTCCTAAACCGCATGAAGTTTGTTTCTGGCCTCCCTCTCGGCTCCATGCTGCCGCGATATCAACCGAGTCGTCTCTCCCCTGTAACCCGACCTCCTTCATGTGGCCGACACATATGTGCCGTGGACGAGTTCTCCTTTGCTACCGAGTGCACCGCGTCTCATAGATCTTTAAAAGTCATACAGAAACCTTCAAGACCTTTGAACTGCACCCATTGACGAAAACGGATGACTTGCCGTTGATTTGTTTTGAGACACTCATGTCATGTCGCACCACGTTTGGGTCTTAACTCTGAACCCTTTCAGGATGTCGCACCACGTTTGGGTCTTAACTCTGAACCCTTTCAGGCCGAATCCCACGCACGTAGCATTTTGCACCATGTCCACCAAGAGGGGTTGAGAGACCTGAACTAGGACCTCTAGTGATAGATATGGGATGGGCGACTGTAGGGTTGTTCAACCTCGTCTTGGCAGTGTTTCTGTGCTTCTTGCCTCTCAGCAAACGCATCCTTCACAGTGCGCCCACCTCATGCGCATCCTTCACAGGTGCGGGCGCCGCACTTGCGAGCCTCCGAGTGGCTACCCAAAGAGGCCGGCTGCGAGCCTCCGAGTGGATTCTATCGTTGACACGAAGTCACATGAGATCTGTCCTAAGAAAACGTTGGAACCGGAACCAACATCTTCTTCTGAGAAGTCTCTTGTGTACATTGAGCCAGCACTGAAAAGCGATTTCTGGAGAACCCAAGCCCGAGGCGTTTGTATCATACATCATCATACATCTCTGATTTTAGATGGCTTCAACTGCACTGAGTGTCGTTTTTGTGTGTTTTTGTTATGCCATATTTTGGCTGTTCGGTTTGTGGGCACTCTCAATCCACTCTCCTACTCGTGTCGCGGCTCATGTCGTGGCAAGTGGCATCGGATGTTCCAACCCCATCCGTCTCCCCATCCGAACCGGTTCGCTCGAGGGATCCAGCGCTGAGTGTGCCATTTGCCTGGCCAACTTGGTGGCCAACTGAGTATGATTCAGTTCTGGAATTGTGTCAGTTCCGTTCCACTGTATTAAACAATAAGAGTTTTTACACATGTCTCACGCATTTGTTTAAACAAAAAAACATTTGCTGCGTGATGCATCACACTATGTTCTTTCAAGAAAAGCATCACCTACGCTGTGGGGATTTCTCATTGGCACTCCATCTACACGGCGAGTCGATGTCGCCCGGTGTCAGGTGAAGAAAAAGGTCCATATACCTAGAACCCATTTGACCTCTGTTTTGATAGGAAAAGACCATATTTTAGGTGGTTGGTGGTCCAAAATAGAGGTCACTCAGGTTCTAGGTATATATATATATACCTGGAACTCAACTGACCCCTGATGACCCCTGTTTTGATAGGAAGTTGGGCCATATTTTGGGTGGTTGGTGGTCCATGGTGGTCCAAAATAGTGGTCAGTCAGGTTCTGTGTATATATAAATATGTGTGCCGCACATGGATCCTTTATGGACTTGGTGAAACAATATGTGGACATGGCAATTTGGTTTTATGGACCTCGTGAAGTCAGATGGATCTGAGGTCACCATATGTTTGGCATCCATAACTCCCAGGTGTTTTGATGATGATATCCACATGGTGCAGTTTTTGTTGCCCCTACTCCGCATCACTTTCGGACATCGCAGAGGATCTCAGGATCTCATATTGTGTATCTGTGTGCGAGATTTGTGGGTGTCACATGTCTTTGTCAGCCAAAATGAACAGTGCGTGTGAATAGAACATAAACAACACACAATGGCCACTGCGAGGCACAAATTCTGAAGGCGCCTGGTTTGCAGGGCCAGCTACCTTTCGAGATGGTTTTCAAGCAACCATTCGAAGGTCACCACTTCAGACATAACAGAAGAAGTGAGCCATCCATTTGATCCGAATCCACAATAGATTTGACATGATTTGACTATCCGAATCCTACAGAACATCAGTTTGGTTGTCCAGACTGAGGACACCCTAAACGGAAGACAGATGCTTTTTCAGAGTCCTTGACACTTCTGAGGAGGTTGGTGCTCTTGTCTCCTCTTTGCCTTGCAGCGACCTGGCAGCAGCCAGGAGAGTCTCAGAAGAGTTTGCACCTTTATATAGTCAAGAAACGTAAACCCGTAGGCTTCAACTGACCTGATAAGGTACTGGACGGGGTCACTGAGACAGTCAGAGTTGGTATAAAGGCAAGGCTTGTTGGAGCATCTCGGCCGTCATATTCAACTGGTCAACCAGCTTCTCGGCCGTGTGTTCTGCAAATACAAAACCATTTATGTTCTGTTTTTTCATTGAAATCATTAGGTTTTGTAATTATGAACTGTTGGGTTCCTTTGCATCTCTCCACCGATCTTAATCCATTCCGAGTGCTCTATCAAACACGTTAGAAAGGTGACAAGCATTGATGCTTTCCAAGTTGCCAGCAACTTGAGAAGAGAAGGACTCTGTTCTTCGTTGCCACGGTTCTGTCTTTCTACCTGGACTTCGTTCGCACCCATTTTCCATGCCCGTCATGACGCCACGTACCTGATAGAAGAGAACGGTCAGACATCACACGTCTTTGGATACAAGTGAAGTCTTTGGTTTCACGTGTTTGGTTCGTTCCCATCTTCACATCTCAGTCGACACGTCTTGGTTCCATGCGCATGCCAAGCAGGCGTGCTGTATTTTATGTATTTCGACTCGACGAGTGACCTCAGGTCATCTTTTCCACTTTGAGTGCATTGCCCGCTGGATGCTGCAGGGCGCAAGCATGCGCTGTTCAGGTAGCTGTCCTCTTTGCCGGCAGCAAGTGGAGGAGAGCTCTGCGTGATGGCAGTAGAGTGGGCCCAATGCCACTGAATGTACTTGCGAGTTGTTTTTTCCCCATGGTGTATCATGGTGTTCTTGTTTGAATCTCTTTTGGATCTCATGTTCACACCGATTCATGAAACTGAGATCATAAGACTGAGTATAGCAAGGACATATAGAGTTGGTAGTGTTACTGTGTTTCTTTTAAGTGACGGTCGTTGGACAGAATTTGCAAACGGCTAAAGGTGGGAATTTCAACATGCTGGGTCTTTGGGGTACAACCTGACTCACGGCCCCATGAATGGCGCCCAGTCGCCCTTTTCGGCACGTTGGGCGCCTCCGCGCGTGCTGCCTGCGCACGGAAGATCTCCGAGTGCTCCGCGGTTGGTGCCGAAAAAGGAAGGAGTCCCGGTGTTCTCTTTGCGTGACGTTGGAAGGGACGGACTAACAGATTCCAGCTTGGGCAACTGAACTGTAACTATATATACATATATATATATATGTATGTATCAATGATAAGTCAGCTACGTTCGGCGGTGTCTAGGAAGAAACTAAGCCAAGTGCCCGCATGTTTGGTCCAGTGCCCGAATGTTTACCTCAGAATTGTCCCTTGCATTTGTATGTTGACTCAACAAACCAGTAGGCTCTCTAGGGCATCCCAGGTCCCTACCTAGAAATGCGGAACTTCCCAAGGATCCCACATTTTGCCCTCCAGAGTTCACGCCAGAACTAACCCTCAACTTCGATGACTTTCAATTGTCAAGAGTGATGACCTGGACAGTCCAACGGGTCGTCTGAAAAGTATGTCAAGTTGGGTGTTTGCGTGTTTTAATCCATGTTTATATATAAATAGTGGAGGAACTGGATATTCATGGATTCTCTTGGACCCAGAGTATAAATCTTTGATCACCTCCAAAAAGGAGCATTTTCCTTTTGGGTTCCCAAGCAATTGTAGGACACCTTCTAAGTTCGTCAGGTGGCGACAATGGCATTGACAATGGAATCAGTGTGAAGTGCTGGTCAAACTCCCCGACCACTGGGGGATCCACATGTCCCAAAGGCTCAGAGTCCGGATCCTCAGTTCGCGTCAGGGTTTGGACCTTCACAACTGGGGTTTTGGACAGAAGCAACATCACCCGAAGCAACATGTAGCAGTTGGTTAGAACCCCAACGGGTCGCCGAACGGGTCGATGAACCAGTTGTCCAGGCGTCTCTCCAGCGGGAGCACTGGACTGCGAAGCACGATGCTCTCTTTGCCGGGCGCTGAGCCTAAGCGTTAACGGGGTGAATGGTCCCAAGAAGATGCTTCATGAGGATGAATGGAGCCGGCGTTTGGGTGGCTTGCAACCTTGTGGATCTTGTGGTCATATCGACTGTTTGCATGCAGCATTTGGTCACTCACTAGGCTGGCAGCAAAGCATTGAACGCATGGAAGGCCACAAGAGATGGCGATGTCCGACGTTTCATTTTGAGAGCAAAGCTGACACGGCAGGTATCATCAAATGAATATGATAGTTGGGTCTGTCCTATTACCTGTCAGTAAACAATTAACACTATGATCACTATGTTTGAACAAGGCCTTTACTAACCATCATCATCCACTGCTACTGGTAATAGAATGGAACCATAGACCTAATAAATATGCATGCGTTGTCATTGTGGTTAACCAGTGCGAGTCTCTTAAGTACTTTTGATGTTGCATTGTGTTGTAGAGTAAGAGGTCCAAATTCAAACATCCTCCCCCAGCAGCCAAGCTCAGCACTAAGAACAACTCTGCTTAAAAACTGGGAACTGTCTCATCCAGTTACTGGTTCGGATAAGCCTCAAACGCCACATGTTGAGGCTTGCATGCATGGATGCGCTCTTCCCGCTGCTCACCTTGCTCCTCAGTCGCAGACCTGACCTGACCAGCCATCGCCGGCGCCGGGCGACACCGGTTTTCTGCTCTAAACAGCGTTATTTTTTCTCCGGCAACTTAAACTTATACATAGCCCTTGCTATCGAAATAATAAAATTCAGGAGCTTGAGGCAACTTTCTTATACAGAGGGGTATCTTATACATCCTCATATTCATGACATGACTCATGACACACACCAAGTCCAAGCTGTTGAAACTGTCTCTCCCAACAAATCCGTGTGAAGGAACCCTATACCAAGCTTTCTTCGCGCTCAGGACTGAGCTGTGGCAGACTTTGCAGGTCTTGAACACCGTGCTGGACTGCGGGGTATGGGGTGGTCACTAGAGCATAACAGAGTCAATGTCCAGGTGGTGCATAGCCGCAGTGCTTTGGTTTGGCAGATTTATCAAGGTTTGATCTCAGCCAGATCATGCCCTGAATACTTTGATAGATGACTCAGATCTGTCCAAAAGCCAACGCTTTCAAGATCTATAGATAGAGTAAGTTGAGACTCTCAGTCTATCTCCCACTCTTTCCTCCCTTCCACTTTTTTGTGTACTACTATGGAACTTCCCATTGCTTCTCAGGTGAGCCAGACTGGCCGGCTACACAAGAACCGTTCCCTCGATGGCTGAACTTGAGTGGGGGACCTTGCTGGATTGTTTCGGGCCGAACTTCCGACCAACAACTTCCGACGGTCCTCTCCCATGTCATCTCGTCGGCACAAGCACAACTTCCAAAAAAGAATCAACGTGTCATCCAAATTGCAAACTCCAAAAAGACCCCACACAACTCGCTTCCCGTCCTTGTGCCGCACCCGATCCGTCAACATGTCGGCTGTAGCGGACACACCGGGGCCGACCGTCACGCGCAGGACCGCAACGCGCAGCTCTTGGGCCTTTTAGGCGAAAGCACCGGATGCTTTTGGGGTTCCTTTTTGGTGCTGTTTGGGGTTCGGCATCTGTCCGGCGTTTGAGTTTTCCCGAAGGCAATCAAGGCATGAGAAGGCGATTCTTTGAGGTAAATTGGTTGAACCCCAACAAGAGTGAAGACACGGATATGTTGGCCGTGCAGCAGGGTGTACCTTCAAACTCGTGTGCCAAGGATTGTAGTTTTGTGATAGCTACGACATGTGTCTTCTTGAGTTCAGTTGATTTGCCCGGGGAGAGAGACAGCATATGTACAAAATAGTATCCAGAGTGTTTCTTTTTTTCCAGCAAGTGCCTGATTTGTTTCGGACACCTGTGAGCTGTGGACGGGTCCTTTACATTGGCTTCCATTTTTGGTTTGTGTCAATTAACTTAGTTCAACCAACTCAGATGTGTTGCGAACCTTTGGAGTCAAATGTCCAGTGCTTTGGGTGGATAAGCAGCAGACGGATATGGAATAGTTGAATATATTTGATATTGATATCTATAGACAAGGTCATTGACCCTAGCAACGGAACAACAGAGTTGGTCGGAGTTGTTCGGTGCTCGCCGAACTGTTCACCCATGCTCGTCTCACCGCTTCAGTACCTGCGACCAACCGCAGGCCCCGGCACCTCGGGTCAGCCCTGGGCGTCTTACCCTATGCTGGCCTTGACCGATCTGGTGGGCTCCGACACGGGACGGGACGGGCGGACGTGCGACCCGCGGGCTGCACCAACGACCCGGGAGCGTGTGGAGTGGTTTGTTAATGGTTTCAAACAAAAAGCAGAGCCTCGTTCCCTGTCTAGCAGCCGCTGCAGAAGCTGAACGTTTTTTTTTGGACCAGGCAGCTCTTGGTAACTTAGAGGTCCCTTCCCACCTTCGAAGATGTTTGGGTCTGCTTTCGGGGCTTCAAGGAGTGTCAGATCTGTGGGGAAGCAACCCAACGAGCAGCTCCCAGAATGGCTTCCAGAAGCCTTATCGACCGCTGAAACTACCCCAAGGTAGGTAAATATGGCATATATGGAGGGTCCGGGTTTGAGACAAACCTGGAGTGCTCAGAGCTCTTGAGGCCACCAATGAGCCCTCTTTGGTAAGAGTTCTTCAGTAGCTTGAGGGAGCCATGCAAAGTGAAGGAATTACAAGGGCAAATCTTGGTTGTGATAATAAAGTATATAATAACTATGGTTAGGGTTTGTCCCATTACCAGTAACAGTCGGTAAACAATGATCACAAGGTTTGAGAAAGTCCTTTTCTAATAATGGTAACATCATCATCCACTCATACTGGCAATAGGATATACATACCATGATATACCTGAGATACCCATATAGTTTTCATCCAAGTCCACGCCATGTGTTCTCCCCCGACAAGCTGGGCCTTTCTCACTTGACTGCTCAGGTCTTAGTGAAGGCCTTCTATGTGGCGAACGCCACCTCATCGGCCTCCCGGCATGGTGTTTGGGGAGAACGTGCTGCGAGGATCAGAAATCAGCTCCAAGGAAACTGGAGCTGACAGAACGTTTTGGGGTATAGATATCGGTATAGGGCATATGGAATTTGATTTGTTTGTGTTGTTTCTTTCAATTTGGAGGTTCATTGAAGCAGTAGGGGAGTAGCTACCGTGCCACTGTTCAATGAAGTTGATATGCTCGTAATGAAATAGAATTACAACCATTCTGAATAACTATCTGAGACACCTTTGGTTCTTGTGGGTTTCTGAGGGTCGTCCGGTTGTCGCCCTTTCAAAGCTGTAAACAAGACATGGTTGGGGGGTTGCCCATCAAAGTATATCCAGGAGGTTCAGTTATCACAAGAACTTTGCTAAGCTCCACTAGCTACAAAGCCGTTTGGTTCTATATATACAGCTACCTGGGCTTATCATACTGATACACACCCACTGGATGCTGTGAAACAGCTTTGGGATGCTGTGCCATTTTGCAGCTTCGCCATGTTTCACCTACTACAGATGCTGCAATTTGCAATCCGCAATCCAACTCATATTCAACAACAGCACATCTACAACACTCGGAAAACAGATCGGTTCAACTTGCGCACCAAGGTGGTGGTCCGCAGCAACACCACTGCGCTGGTGGACACTGCTATGTTGGCAGCTCTACAGATAGGCCCAGCGGAGCGGCGAAATTGTCAAGGGATGGTGCGCTGGCCGGCCCCGACGTGGGCACGTGGGGACGTGGGCACTTGGGGACGTGGGCG